AATGACTCGAATTGAGAAAATATTAATATATTTTTTCCAAAGCGGAATTTATAATCATTTTATTATTTTTTTGTTTAATAACGTTGATTTAAATTGAAAGTTAATTATGAATTAAAAATATAATGAATAATATTAATTGAAACTTGAGGCTATGTTGGAGTTTAACATCCCAAAGAAGCTAATCAGCCTCACAAGAATGACACTCAACAGAGTTTCGTGCAGAATAAAAATCTCGTCAAGTCTCTCTGAACCATTCTTCACCGAAAAAGGCCTGAGACAGGGTGATTCCCTTTCTTGCCTGCTATTTAACATAGTTTCGGAAAAGGCCATTAGAGACTCTGGTATCAACACAAATGGAACAATCTTGCAAAGGACTGTCCAACTACTCGCTTTTGCTGATGATATCGACATAGTTGGAAGAACAAAACGCTCAGTCTTTGACGCTTTTGTAGTGCTTGAGAGTGCGGCGAAGGAGATGGGACTAGTTATAAATGCAGACAAAACCAAGTTTTTGATCGCAACAAATAAAACTCCTGATCGATCTCCTCTGGAGATAATGACTTACTCTTTTGAAACTGTTAACCAGTTCAAGTACTTAGGAACCTTGATCTCTAGCCACAACAACCTGAAAATCGAAATNAAAGAAGCTAATCAGCCTCACAAGAATGACACTCAAAAGAGTTTCGTGCAGAATAAAAATCTCGTCAAGTCTCTCTGAACCATTTTTCACCGAAAAAGGCCTCAGACAGGGTGATTCCCTTTCTTGCCTGCTATTTAACATAGCTTTGGAAAAGGCCATTAGAGACTCTGGTATCAACACAAATGGAACAATCTTACAAAGAACTGTCCAACTACTCGCTTTTGCTGATGATATCGACATAGTTGGAAGAACAAAGCGCTCAGTCATTGACGCTTTTGTAGCGCTTGAGAGTGCGGCGAAGGAGATGGGACTAGTTATAAATGCAGACAAAACCAAGTTTGTGATCGCAACAAATAAAACTCCTGATCGATTTCCCCTGGAGATAATGACTTACTCTTTTGAAACTGTTAACCAGTTCAAGTACTTAGGAACCTTGATCTCTAGCCACAACAACCTGAAAATCGAAATAAATAACAGAATTTTTATGGCTAACAGAAGTTTCTACGGCCTCAGAAACCAACTCAAATCCAAGTTCATCAGTGTGAAGACAAAGTTAAACATTTACAAAACTTTAATCAGGCGTATAGTTACGTATGGAAGTTAGTGCTGGACCCTAAACAAAACAGAGGAGGAAAAACTGCTAAGTTTTGAAAGAAAAATCTTTGGATCTCTTCAAGAGAATAACGTTAGGAGAATTCTTTACAACCACGAAATTTACAAATAAATATGACAAATTCGGTGGGACCGACATTATGAGAACTGTTAAAGCATCACGCATTATGTGGCTGGGCCACCTCTTCAGAAATTCTGATGCCTTCCCTGCCAAAAAAAGTGACTTTTTCCGCAATTAAAGGGACGAGACGTAGGGGACGACCACCTACAAGATGGATAGACGACGCTGAAAAGGACCTCTAGCTATTGGGAGTCAACCGATGGCGGGCCGTCGCACCTTACAGGGCCAGATGGAGGAAAATCTGCGAGTCAGCCTTGGCCTGTGAAAGGCTGTTGCGCTTATGAAGAAGAAGAAGATGATGAATTAATTTAAATGAGTGGAACAATATAGTGTCGAAACACATTTTTTTCCAATAACAAATTTTTGTACATTTCCGTTGTGATATACAATGATTTCCCACTTGAAATCTCACCTGTGTCAACAAACCTTGCATTAATTGAAATACTTTCTAAAAATAAAGTTGACATGTATTGCTCATATTGCCTTGACTTTTTCGTCTTCATAATATTTCTCTTGCGTGTTCTTTTTTGTATGCATATGAATACAGAAATGTTTTAAAACCCCATAATATAATTTCTTTAAAGGTTTCTGAATGCGTTTATAATGTTTTTTCTTCAATCAATTAAAACTATAAATCTAAGTTAAGTTATAAGTTCGTTACCTTGTTTCCTAATTATAAATCTTTTCAAATAAGAAAATAATTGTTCTTAAGAACAAAATAATTAACTCCAACGAAACTAAAAAATATATTTAACGATATAATTGGCAAGTAACCAGCTTTCGTAGAAATTGTAACAATTCATGGCTACAGAAAAAAAATCAGAAATTTTAAATAAGTTGTAAATATCTTTTAGTTGAAGTAGTAAATTAAAGGGGGTTTGCTTCATATTTTTAATGTATTTTCTAGGAAGTATAGAACAAAAAGACATAACTATAATTTTCAAAAATCAGAGTGACATTAATTCTATGCTTATTATCCTTGGAATGAAATTCATGTTTCTTTACTGTTCTCAATGCGTCCTAAATTATTTTACTTAAGCTTAAGTTATTATATACTTATACTTAAGCTATTTTATTTAAGCTTAAAGAAACAGGGCAGATACATTACAGTTTCAATTTTATAGTATTTCATTGAACAAACACTATAGAGAAATTTGTTTTTCATAAAATTAGAATTTCGTTGTAATTAAAATTGTTTAAAATAATGAAAGATTATTTTTTTCATTTATACCAAAATATATTTTTTTCATAATTCGTCGTTAAGTCTGTTTAATGTACATTTTTTCACAAAACTTAAATTGATATCAACTGATGTTTGCATATGAAATTTATAATTATGGTTTTATAAAAATCAATTATTTAAATAAATCGGAGATTTTCTTTTCCTGCATCATAAACCTAAATTTAAGTAACCATTTTGAAAAAAAATGACTAAAAATGTTATTTAAAGTCAAGTGCAATGCAACGTTATTAATTAATCTAAATTTAATCTGATATATAAGACTAATGACAAAGTAATATCTACGCATAATAATAAAATGTAATCTCACAAGTAACAATCAGAAGTAATAGTATGTGTTAAGTTTAGACTCATTTTATGAAGTAATTTTCAAAATATATTTTTAAAAAATAGAGATTGAAATTACAAAATTCTAGTTTTTTTAAAGGAAATAAAAATGCAATGGATGTATGCATGGCCTATGTTCATATTCTTAATAAATGCAGATAAAAAGTAGCTAAATAGATAAACTAAAGAGATAGACAAAAATATTATATAAAAAGAAGGAATTATGAAATGTTTAAATATTTTTATACAAATATTTACAATGGCGTGGGTCCTTTTAGTGAGATATAATTCAGTAAAAGTTTTTTTTTCTATGTAAAGTTTCAAGACATTTCTTTATCATACTTTAAAATAATTGCAAAAGAAATAACGTCTGTACATAAGAGTAAAATCTGTACATAAGAGTTCAAAAGGATTTTTTCCATTTAAAATGTTATAAACAGTTTTGTTTCAACAAAATAAAAAGACAAATATTATCAAAATAAGTAGACAAAAAAGATAGATTAAAAATATTAGATAAAGAAAGGAATTATGAAATGTTAAGTATTTTATACAAATATTTACAATAAGGTGGGTCCTTTTAGTGAAATATATTTCAGTATAATTTTTTTATCTATGTTACGTTTCCAAAATAAGTTTTATCGCCGTTAAAATAATAGTAAGAGAGATATCGACTACGAAGCAAATATATACATAAGTGGTTAAAAGGATTTTTTTCACTTTTAATGGTATAAATAGTGTTGTTTCTACTAAGCAAACATTTAAATTAACTATTTTTTTAAAACAAATCTTTATAGATATGTTTAACATATAGACTAAAATTATTTGAAGAAAAAAACTAGGGAATTTTTAAGTATATTTAAAAAAGATTTACTATAACCTGGGACCTAGTAATGAGATTAAGATATAATATGAGATTTATTTTAATAGATGATGTTACCAAAACAATTTTCACAAAAACATATAGTGTTAATAGAAGAAATAACTATCCAAGAAAAATATATTTATCAGAAAGAAAAACAATATTTTGGGGATTATAAAATATAAATAGGTGCATTTATTTAAAACAGAAATGCAACTAAATTATTTTTATTATAAAATGTGGAAAAATCAAAATGTATGCACTTAACAGTTAATAAAACCTTATTATAATAAAATATACGTGATAAAGTATGAAAAAATAATAAATTTGATGAAGTAGATAAGAAATACTTAAAAAAAACAAGAAATTTAAAATGAGTGAAAATAGAATAATGTAAAATAGATAAAATGATCTTTATTTTTTCAAGCAATAAAAAATAAAGCTAACTATGTATACCGAATACAAAAAAAATGAAGAAGTAATTAGTATTTTTAAACAAATTTTGATAACAAAATATTTTGTTGTATAATGCAGAATAATTGCAATACTATAAAACTAAAAACAAAAAGAAAATGATATTAAAATATAGATACGATGAATAATCGATTAAATTATTTTAGACAGGAACTTCCTCTTTTCATTAAAACGGGTAAATACATATAAAGCAAAAATTGCATGTAAAATAGCAATTACTTTCCTTAAAAATTTCAATAGTATTTACTAATGAGACACCATTTAAACTATTCTATCATTACTATTTAAAAAAACATAATATTAATAAATTTACTATGAACTATTGTTCCTAACAATAAATAAAAAATATATATGTTATAACAAATTAAACTCCATAGAGTGTTGAAAAATACAATGAAAAAAAATTCGAAGCATAGATGCAAAATCAGTGACAATTAAAATAGTTTTTAATCATGTTTCATATGCAAATACATGAGACATTTAAATACAAAAAATACAAAATTACGTAAGTGTTGATGCACTTATTTACTTTTAAAATTGTTATATAACTTAAATGAAATGTAACACTATTAATAAAGTTATTATTACAATAAGTTATTATTAATAGAAAACTTATAGTCTTTAGGGATAAAATGAACAAAAAATAACTTTTTTCCAAAGTTAAGCCCAAAATAAAAATATACTACAATTTGAATGAATAAGAGGATTTCATAAAATGTATACATACCACTTTTTATGGCTGACGAAAGTCGAAGTGTTAGAAAACAAAGTAAGGTTTGAAAAAGCAATACCATTTTGGTCTGCTGACGTAAAGAATTTAAAGGTTTTGTCTTACTTTTTTTGCCAATTTGGTGATAGGCTGGATTCAATTTTGATCTCTAAAGAGCGTCGTAACCAAAAATATGAAATTTACTTTTCCAGTATACTTTTGCTTGGATGAATTTTTTCGGGTAGGAAAAGTTTAATATATAAATTTTATCGTTCTTCGGTAAATAAATGTTGAATTCTTTGCTATGTGGGTTGTGTTTTTAGGGTTTTTCTTTTTTAAAGCATTTTTAAAACAAATCGATAAGCTTGTATTTACAAATTTTCATCCTTAAATGCCAGAATTCTTTCTTTAATATAAAGAAGAAACACTGTTAAAATCTGTGTAAAATTTTGATTTTAGTTTATTTATATCTCTTACATAAAGTTTTTAATTTATTTGCAGTTAAAATTAAATTGAATATTAAAATATACCAAATAAAATAAAAAAGAAATAAATATATTTTAATAGTCGTACTTTAAAGTACAAAATTACTTATTTGAAAATTTTAAAAGGAGATGAAAATAACATTCGAAGCAAAGAAACATAATTCCAAGCACTAAAATTCAAATTATATTTGCTGATTTCAGAAGGAAAAAAGAACTATTTAAGATTATTTGCATCAGAAAAATAACGCATTTTTAAAGTACAGAAATCTTGTTTCATAATTAAAAAAAAATATATATGAGGTTTCTGAAAAAAAACTAATTAAAAAATTAACATTATAAAATAAATAACGCGTTAGAAAAAGTCAAAAGGTGATTAAAGTAATTTTCTTAGAAGAAATGAAACTTGTTTTCTAACAGTAAAAACATAACCACGATTGCGTTTCGTTAAATGAGAGAACAACAAAAATCTTTCATTCTCAACAACCATACTAGGAAAACTAAATGGACACTAAAACTGCGCATGCGCAGAACGGATGATTACTCGCCATTACTTTAAATGAAGTTTGACGTGAGATGGGTAACAAAGAAAGATGGCTAACGCGGTTGCTTAACGTTTGACATGAAAACTAATTCTTTGGGAAAAAGTGAAAGTTATAAAATATCATGACAGATGTGGTTTTTATTTTCATATAAATTCCTATCATGTCAGCTGACGAAAATATTATTTTTTTCATCGCTTTCCAGAAAATATTGGTGTTGATAAAAATTAATGGCATCGTTTGGGGGTAATAATGGATAGATAAGCTGCCGAATTCTTTAATGGGCGAAATATTTTTGGTTTACCCCTTATCAATCATATCTGTCAGCATATTTTTGGAAAGATATAGCCTTAATAACAGTAAATGTATTTTATTGTTGCTATTTTTCTGCTAATCTTCTATAAGTTTAAAATTTCTTCATAGGCAACAAAATAAATGGCATTTATAAAATTGAAATGGAAGTGTTTTTCCTGATACTATGAAACATAAAGAGGATGAAACAAATAAGCTAAAATAAAAAAGTAACAAGCGGACGATGTCAATGACTACTGTTTAAAATAATGCAGAGCATAATGAAGATTTTTTTTAAAAAAATATATGGCTTTTTTCTAATAAATAAGAAATAAAATACAATAAATAAAAAATAAAATATTTCGGTAAACAATAATAAGAAATCTACGGAATTAAAAGATTTTTATTAATAAACTTATTCAGTTCAAAATTTTTGAATTTCAATTTAAAAGAATACAAATTTTACGCATAAACAAAAAAGTGAGTGTGCTTTTCTTTTCAAATAAAATCTTCTGAATAATTTTTCGAAATGAATTTATAATAAATTAGTAGTATATAATAATCCATAAATTAAAAAAAGATTGGTAGCTAATACTTTTAAAAGGAAATATCTTTTATAATGAAGGATAATTTCTTTTGTAAATCTTTATTTTTCAATACTCTTATGACTATATTAATAATTATGCTTATTCTCTTATAAAAAGTAATTTTAAATTCCGCTATATTTTTATTTTTTTAGGACAGTTTGTTCCCACTAATTAATTCAAATGTAATATTGAATATAAAATATATAATATACAATACATAATATATAATATAAAATATATAATATACATTATATAATATGTAATATAAAATGTATATTATTTAATATACTATGTATATAATATAAAATATATATGTGTACTATATGTATCACGAACAGTAAAACGTACGAATTTTGATTTTGTATGTAAGTTAACAGAATATTTTTTAATTACAAACACATTTGAGTTGCGTATCGATTTTAAATAAAGTAAAATTAATATTAATTTAAAAAATATACATTTACCTGCAGGCTAAATTACCTTCCTCTCTTTATTTAGCAACGTGATTTTTTATGGTTTCCTCCACCTTAAAAAGCGATATTTTTAATCAGGTAACGCAGTTATCTTCTCTTTATTTATTTGAAAATAAATAATGAATAATGCAGTTGTATTCATATAGTTTCTATTTATTTATTTATTCTTATTTATTTATTCATTCAAGAGAAATAAAGAGATAATTAAAATGATATTGATTATTATTTTCTATTTATACATCTGCATTTATTAGTTAGAACATAGTCAAATAGACTATGAAAACTATTTTATATTTTTTAAGCTATTTTTCATTCTTTTTTCAAAGAAAAAAAAATATGTTTGACTTTTTTTCCGAATGCAATGCAACAATGTAAATAATTGTAATATAACATAAACTATTATTTCTTCAAAAAAGAATATTGTTTAACTTTAAAACTATTGCACTAGAGTTTATTATTCACATCCGCATTTATGCAAATAAAAATATAACAATTTGAAACAAACAATCAGTTTTAAAAGAAATTTGCCTTTTGACTAAATGTTCCAAAGTTTCGGTGTATTTATATCATTTTTTTAGTGAAAAATGCGCATTGCAGTACGCACATTCAGTATTCATAGCACATTGCTGTACATGCATTCAGTACACAATGCACATTGCGAAGGACAGAAGTTTAATTCCCTGTCACTTCCAATTTATGAGTACCTCAGCTTATCAGGGAACTACAGGCGATATTTGTGCAACTCTGACTTCAGTCAATCACCCCAGACAAGCAATTATCCAAGTTTTGAAATTATAGGACCTTTAGCTATTTTCAGTCGCAAGGGAACTTAGTTTTTATCCGTACTAATTAAAGTTTAATGCGAAATTTTAAACTAGCATTTCAAAATTTGGCTTCTTAAGTACTTGGGTACCTCTATAGACAAGTTTTAACAAAAGTAAAAATTCAAAATAAGTAAGTTAAAAGGCTGATCGTTTAAAATAGGTATCGATAACAGAAACAATTTTATTATAATTTGGAAATTGTAATAATATATAAATTTAAAGTTGTACAAATATTAGCTTTTTGAATTTCTGGTTTATGTAAATATGAATGAATAATGAAAAAAAAACTAAAATAAAAAGACTAATAAATTCAATCATACATATCATTTTAATAACTCATTTAGTAATTGGTTCTTAAATACATAATTAATCATCATACAGAAAAATATAGAGAAAATATATCCGTAAATTAGAACGATGAAAGAATTTGCTCATTTAATGAATTCTTAAAGGTATTGACATAATAAAATCGTTATGAACTTCTGGAAATAAATAAAAATCAAAACTATTTTAAGGTAATGTGCTTTCAAATAAAAATATCTTGGATCTAATTTCCTGCTTGTTAAATGAGTGTATTCCATGAATTTAATTTGTAAAAAAANCTCTATATATATATATAAATCAAACTAATCTTAAAAATGACTACTAAATTGTGGAATCTCATTAAAGACATTAAAGACAAGCCAGAGAAGATGGTATTTGGAACTTTTAATTTCCTAATGGAAGGTTTTAGTCATATAAGAGAGAGAAACATGATTACATGATCGGTTTATCTTGTTTTTGCATTAATTTCCCTAATGAAATTCATTTTCATTCCCTTTTTAATCAAGTATAAGCCTTATTGAATTAGCCTAAATATTTTAGACATTAAAATATAGATCGAGATTTTATTTTCAGATAATATTGTTATATAGTAATAGATCAATGCTTGCTAAATATATTATTTGAATATATATTGAAATGCAAATACTAATTACGGGAAAAAATATCCCATTTTACTCCGAAAGTGTAATTGCTTATTGCGTTTATCATCTTATTTTAGGGTCTCTTATGAATTGATCAAAGAATATAAGCAAAGTTTTGTATTATTGTTGATTGCCTTATTTAAGCAAAAAATTTCACGAAATTATTTTAAAATTTTCAAATGATTTTTTCAATTGATTTTACAGTCTCATTAATAATTATGTCAATACACATCCCATTTTACATCAAAAACGGATGGCTTTTCGCGTTAACCAACGTGTGTTTGAATATATCACTTTTTGAGAATTGTTGCAACGTATTGAATTGTTAATTATTATTTAATAGCAAAATTTTTGAAAATTATTTATAAATTTAAAAAAAAAAAACATTTACATTTACTTCTAAGTACACTTAAATTTCTATCAAAATAAACATTAAACTCTTGCAAAATACTGAATAATAAATTACACAAGTAAATTTGGGCTTAAACTTTCTATTAGGATCCAATAGGATTACAATAAAAAAGAATAGTATTTAGAAATAGTCGAAAAAGTGTATTTTGAAAGAATATATAAATTTAAGTGCCGTGAAATTCTGCTGATATATGTGATATAGCTCTCAGAATTCACATAATTTTTCCAAGGAAATTTTTACAACATTGACAATTTTTCAATGCAATCAAAGAAATTTCTTTCACTGGGACAGCTTTGAGCTCGTAAATATGCTGTCAAATGCATTTCTCGATAATTAAAATTCGTCAAAATTTGACTTTTACGAATTAATTGTTAAACATTTAGCTTTTCTCACTTACTATTATTATTTTTGAATTGGAAACCTCACTATTAAATAAATTAATAAAAATAAATATGCACTGAAAGATATTGTTTACATGGGGTTTCTGGATGGAAAATTTTATAACTGTGTGCAAAACGTTTTCGCACTTAAAAAGTTCTCGATATATTTGCGAAATACGCGAGAAGCGAAATTAACATTAAGAGCCAAACTTTGAACAGCTCTCCTGACCAAACTATTAAGACCATAATTTCCAGATGGTGACTATCCCTATATTTCGATGGTCAACCATCTGAATCCATTGAAAAAAATTAATATTTATTCAGAGAAACACGTTTTGTGAATAGTTTCGTAACTTAACATATCGTCCGCAGAAATTAATTGGTCATATTTGAGGCCATGTTCTTAAACCATTAAGATTGAGTCCTAAAACATAAATAGCTGATCATTAGATCAAATGTCATTCAATGCAATCCATGTTTTTATCGCACGGTACACGAAAGTATACTTGTAGAACGAGGAAACACAGAAGGAAATTTAACACTACCTATAATTATAT